CAAGGCCAGCCTGGTCTACATAGTGAGTTGCAGGACAGCTGGGGCTACAGGGAGACCCTGTCTCAAAAAGACCAAAAAAAAGAAAAAAGAAAAAGAAAATACCAGAGCTAGAGAGATGGCTTATCAGTTCACTGGCTGCTCTTGCAGAGGACCTGGGTTCAGTTGCCAGCACCCACATGGTGGCTCACAACTGTCTGTAACTCCAGTTCCATAGAGTCCAACACTATGGTGGGCAGTGTATGACATGGATACACTTTCATACATGCAGGAAATATATTCATGCACATAAATTTTTTAAATTTTATTTTATTATTCTGGCCTTGAACTCACGGAGATCCACCTGCCTCTGCCTCCCGAGTGCTGGCATTAAAGGCGTGCACCACCACGCCCGGCTTATAAAAAAAATATTTTAAAAAGTAATAAGACATTTTTAAAGAAATGAAAATAACTTGGGCTGGTGAGGTGGCTCAAGGGTTAAGAGCACTGGCTGCTCTTGCAGAGAACCTGGGTTTAATTCCTAGCACTCACATGGCAGCTAACAACCATCTGTAACTCCAGTTCCAGAGGAATTTGATGCCTTCTTCTGAAGGCATTGCAGAACATGGGTGTACTTACATACATGTAGGCAATGCAGTCATACACGAAAATAAAAATGATAAATAAAAATATTAAACAAATGAAAATAACAATGTAAAAGTGTTTTCCTTTCAACACCTGTTACTTGTAAGTGTAAGAAAAGTTGAGTAACAGCAGTGAGTGTACAAAGGAAGGTGACACATAATTCCCTCTAGTGAGGTTTATTATAATGAAAGGGTCTCAAGGTCATGATCTGACCTGAGATAGAACAGGAGCATTAGACAAACACAGTGCAATACAGGAGATCTAAACAGGATGGGACCTTAAAGGGAAGGAGAAGCTTCCCTTAAAAACCTGGAAGGGAGCTTCATAGAGAGAGAGAGAAAGAGACACAAACCATGATAGGGATGTTGAAGGGCAAAGAGGCCAGAGGAGTTTCTTCAGAGCAATCTCTCCAGTAGACCCTGAGGTTGTTTGTTTGTTTGTTTGTTTGTTTGTTTTTGTACCAATCCCCAGAACAAAGGAAAGGTCTGGGTTTTGTTTTGTTTTTTGTAAACATTTTAGGGATTTTGAGAAGTCTCATATCATGTAATTTAGTTTAGCACAGCATACCTGACAGGGAGCAGGAATAGCCAGGTACTGGTTAGGACTGTAAGTCAGGGACAGCTGGTAGGCTACAACATAGAAGGTTAACTCTCTGTCCTAGAGAGAGAGAGGTTCAGGGAGGCCTGGCCTGGTCTCCTCAGGCTGTGGGACCTGCCTAAAGGTGCAGGCCTGAATTATAACAGAAGAAGTTCTAGAACCCTCAAATCTGGGATCATTACATTTTTCTTTCTGATACGGACATCCTGATTTGCTTCAGCCACTTAATAAAAAGAGTAGGTTCATGAGCATTTCCTGGCTTCTGTTGCTGTTTTCTAATCTCCTTTTATAAAGGGCTTATATTGACAATGGAGCATAGTTCTAACCTGTCTCTATTTCTGAAAATTAGGAACATTATTTTCTAATCTCTCTGCTTTTTTGCTATGTTATTAATCTTTCACTCATTTTGTTTTATTTTTTATTTTATGTGTATGAATGTTTTCCCTACATGTATGTTGAGTGTACTCATGTCATGCAGTGCCCATGGAGGCCAGAAAAGGGCATTGGATTCCCAGGAACTGGAGTTTCTGATGGTTGTTAGCCACCATGTGCACACTGGGAACTGAACTCGGGTCCTCAGCACAGACAAGATGGGTTATGGCACAAATACACAGACACATAAATAAGTAAATGTACTACATTTTTTTAAAGGGAGCATGACCTGCTTTCTCTAATTCTCTACATATAATAGGCACACTTGTTCAGTTTTTCTTTTTATTTTAGAATATTTTTATTTTCCAAACAGAGGACATTTTTAACACATTTTTTTCCAGAAATAACTTGAAACAAGTTACATAAAAATATATATACAATACACTGGGCATGGTAGTGTACAACTTTAGTGCCAGTACTTGGGAGACAGAGGCAGGTGGATCTCTGAGTTTGAGGCCAGTCTGGTCTACATAGTGAGTTCTAGGCCAGCTGGGGATACAGGGAGACCCTGTCTCAAAAAGAAAGAAAAAAAAAAATATATATATATACACACACACACATGCACACACACGCACACAATGAAGTTTAAGGGGGGAAAATAGGAATAAGAAATCAAAGACCAAAGGTTTTGCCAACATGGGGTCCACTTTGGCGGAATAATGGTTTCTATTAGCTCTGTTCTTTTTTTTTAATTTTAATCCTAATGAGTTTATTGGGCTTGCTAACAGAGCATAGAGTTGGGGTTTATTTACAGAAGAGTGGGTGCCCCTCCCACTGTCCTGGAAAGTACACACTCAAATACAGGTCCTGTGACTTCCCAACAGCCACACAAAATGGTGAGGGGGTGCCTCATGGCATTCTTGGCTTGTATATTTTTAGCCCCTTCCCTAAATGCACCTTAGAGTGACTGATTGGGTGGGAGGGGTAACTGACTCCCCACTTGACTGTTTGATGAATGTGGGAAGGAGGCGTGACTATAGCTTTTTGCATAGTGGCTGGAGGACACTTCTAGGTAACACTCCACCCCTTCCTCTGGCTCTTACATTCTTCCTGCCAACCTCTTTCACAAAAGTCTCTGAGCCTTAGAGGAGGTGGTAGGTGTGGGATGATCTTCCTCCCATTGTAGCAAGGCACTACATTGTCTATCAAGGGTGTCTGCATCGTCTATTTTCCATGGGCTGTTGGTCCATTACAGTGGGATACCACCTAATATAAAAACACAAACAGCAAGAAGCAAGAACATCTAAACAGTGGCTGCTATAATAACATGTGTGTAAACACAAATGCTTTGATGGTACCTTGGCAGGTGCATCATACCCATCTAACCAAACAATTGCAGTGGCTTCCCACTGGGGACTATATTCTCCCCTGCCACAGGGGGTTGGCCTGGTCTGCAATACCAGATGTGTGTTCCACCTCTAGGAATGGGTGTAATATCCAAAACTTTGCTGGTTGTACATACACTAGATGTACCACTGTTGCACCAGCGGGAACATCTTGTTTGGCATGTTGATAGTGTAGCACACCAGGTCCGTCATTGAGCAGAATTATAGGGGATAGTTCTCCCTCAGCCATCTGCATATCACCTTCTGGCACTATGAAATCCACCCATCCAGTGGCAGGGAGTTTCCAGCTTAGTCCACGCTTGATTTCTCCCTATCCTGTGCTCACATCATGCAGTATCTTCATTAATAGGATTTTACCACCCACTTCTGGTATACAACCAACATTATTGGCAATGACCTTTATTGTTTTGGGGACCTCTAGACCAACAGCTCATAGGGGGGTGACCCACCTCTGGCCCTGCGATTTTCATTTAACAACCGTATGGGTTCTGGTAGGGCTTTCTTCCATCCCTGGAGGGTTCCAATATTATTTAAGTCAGGCACTTACTGAGAGAAAAAGCAATCAGTTCTATGCTCTTCAAACCTTCTCTGCCTCACAGAGATGCTGAGAAAAATATGTGAACCTGATACCTGTCATTTAAAATGTGTTTCAGTAAAAATACGAGCTCCGTTCTCATCTTTAAGATAGTCAGTGCAGTTGCTTCCTGTCTGGAGAGCATTTTTTCCAAAGTCCTTTCCTGTGAGGTTATAGTTGGTCCAGAAGAATGAACAGGAGTTCAAGAGAGATGCTTCTGTTTGGGGACAGCCTCTCATTGGAGGGCTGTAACATGGGTCCAGCAGGAAACTTGTTTCTTCCTGCTTGACTATTTCTTGCTTTTCCTGTTGATTTCTAATTCCAGAAATTCCAACAAGACCTCCAAGACCCCAAATTACAAGAGCCACAACTACAACAAGACCCACTACAAGACCCGCAACTACAGCAAGACCCGCAACTACAGCGGGACCCACAACTACAACAAGACTTACAACTACAAGACCCACACCTACAGTGAGACCTATAACTACAGCAAGACCCACAACCATACTGAGGCACACAACTACAACAAGACCCACAACTACAAGACCCACAATCACAGTGCGACCCATGACTACAGGACCCATAACTACAGTTAGACCCACAACTACAAGACCAACACAAACTCCAACATCAACAGGAGTTTCTATCTGTACTCCTTCAACACCAGCACAGACACAAACCGCCAAACCAGGTAAAGCCATGTGTTTCAGGACCCGAGGTCTTCTCATGAGAGGCTCTATGCTACACAAAACAGTCAATTCAGAAGTACAGTTTGGGAGATGGAATCTTTTTTTTTTTTTTTTTTTAAAGACAGGGTCTCCCAGTAGCCCCAGCTGCTCTGGAACTCACTATGTAGACCAGGCTAGCCTTGAACTCACAGAGATCTGCCTGCCTCTTCCTCCTGAGTGCTGGGATTAAAGGCTGTGCCACCACGCCAGGGGAGATGGAATCCTAACTGGTTACTGGGCAGAGGCTTCACAAGTCTCTTCTTAAGTCATGTGCACCCTGTGTTGTGTAAGAGCTTGGAGACCAAGGACACCAATCACTCTTTATGAGGTCTTTGAAGAGATTCATTACTACTCAGTTATAGCTGGGTCATTGATTTGGGGTACCCAGTGGGGATGTTGGGGGCATCTGATGAAAAATAGGAAACAGAGAATAGGGGTCAGAAAAATGAGACTCTGAACTCTTGTCTGTTCTGAAACTGAACTGCCCAGCTGAGGGGATTTTTTCTTTTTTTTGGTCTTTTTGAGACAGGGTCTCCCTGTAGCCCCAGCTGTCCTGTAGACCAGGCTGGCTCAGAGATGTGCCTGCCTCTGCCTCCCGAGTGCTGGGATTAAAGGCATGCACCACCACGCCTGGCTGAGGGGATTATTTTAATGAAACTTAGCGTTTACTGTTTCCTGACCAAGGCAACATGCTACATTCTTTATAATACAGTGTTTAATTCTCAGGACAACTGTATCTGATAAAGTGTGGAAAATCTGGTACTCAGATAAGGTCTGTTGTGAAGACAGTAGTGAGGATTAGGAAAAACTTCCAGGCCTCTTTTCTGTAAAGTGAAATAAATGTCCCTTGTCTTAGTAAAATAACTTAACTCAGTGCCCTACATAACATATATTAATACAGACTTTTTCATTTCGTTTGTGTGTGTGTGTAGGAGTATACGAGTCCAGAATGAAAAGTAAGAAATAATTCAGAATATCTATAAAGCTGTCTAGAACATTGTTACAGATCTCATTTCCTTGTGATAGGAAATTAATAGAGAGCAGTGTGTGACCTGGAGGTCGTCTTTGGTTAGGTTTCTAAGAGTAGTCTGATTTAGAAGTGGGTATCTGGCAGCCAGGCCAGTTTAGGGAGGCTGAAGGAAGGCACTGTGGGAAATCATTGGTAATTTTTGATTGAAGTTTTGTTTTTCTTTTGGAAGGGGAGTGCCGTTCTCTCTTCACAAATGAAACACAGTTCTTGCATTGTTTTCATTCCAGAACCTGCTACACCATCTCTACCTCAGACAACAGAACCCCAGCCAACAGCCATCCTGTACACCAGCCATCCAGGTAACCATGTTCTCTCTCCCAAACCTGTGGGAAGATTCAGATAGTAAGTGTGTGTGTGGTTGAGGTCTCACACTCTCGAATAAGGCAGAGCTGTCAATGTTGGCAGCGACAGGGACAAAGGTACAGCCCTGTTCCATCCCCACAGCAGCCTGAAGAGATCTGTCCCTTAGTGATCTCCATTCATGCAAAGCCAGGATTTCTTGCTTCTTTAAAGAAGCCAATTTCAGGCAGCACCTATATGAAGCTCCTATGTGGAGATTTGTTAAAGCCTATTTTTAACATAGACATTAAACACAGGGGTTATTAAAAAGAGAGATGTTCAGGGAAATAAGGAGACATACCCTAGCATGGTTATGGACTTGGCCAAGAGATTAGCAGGTAGGTTTCTTTACAGTTAGTATAGGTGTAATTTTGGTGGTTTTTAGTGTTGCATCCTTAAATGTTTCTAAGAAATGCCCCCACTTAACATTGTTTATAGATACAGTTTATAATAAGGTTAAATCCCGTAAACAAAGTTATAAAGTTGATTTATGAGAGGTATTTGCTTAGTCTGGAATAGGCGAGGAATGCTGGAAACTCAAGATTATGCATCATTTTGGCCCTAAGTCAGTACAGTGTGCTTATTACCACCACCATCTTTGTCTGAGATGTCTGTAGGAAAACACAGATTGCCTCAGTAGGGGATTTCTTTGATCAATGAGTGGTGCCTGAAGTTTCTTGATCTGTCAGCAGGACAGGCAAGGCAGATACAGAGGACCATGGGCCACACCCTTACCATGCCTCATGCTTCCGTTCCATGGCCCCATGACTGTTCCTGTCTTTCTCTCTTGCCTTGTTTTTTGTCATGACTGACAGCTGAGTGACTTGTATAAACATTCGCTTTCTCTGAATCTGTTTCATTATTTGGAGAATGGATGTAGTACCACTGATTTTTTTAATAGAATGCCTGTAAATACCAAATGAGATGGAGGGATGGGTCTTGGATGCAAAGGGCATAAGATCAATATAGAAGCAGCTATTACAATCAGTCACATAGCCTGGA